CTGCTATGCACTCCTGCCCCCAGCTGTCTCCCTGTGCATACACAGCCCTTCTGTTCTCCCATGATTGATCTCTCCAAGGAGTGTATATATACCTAATGTAAATGTTCAGCAGAAGCAGAGCGAATTTTAAAATAATTTCATTGTGAAGTTTTATCTCTATCATAATGCACCTCAGTTGGCACTAAGTATTCATTTCAGTAATCCATCCAATGTAGCAGCTCTGGTGGCATAGTGGGTAAAGGCATTTGGTTGCTAACCAGGTCAATGGTTCAATCTCACCAGCTTCACCACAGAAGGAAGATGAGGCATCTATTTCCGTAAACATGTACAGTCTCAAACCCAGTGGGTGTTACTATCAGGTGGAATCAACTCGATGGCAATGGGTTTAGTTTTTGGTTTATCCAACATATATATTTGATAATTTCCCAATGTATATCTCTAAATCAATTTCCATCTCTAGCAGTAACTGATACCAGTCTCACCTAGTCTACATAAATTCTTTACCCCTTAGAACAGATTAAAATTTTCTGAATATATAATGCTTCTTCATAACTTCAAGATTTATGTTTGCTTTTCCATTTATATTTTTTTTTCCCCTTTCACCATATTAACTTATACTTTGTAGGTTGAAGTCATTACATGAGTCACCTTCTCCCAGGAATCTTCACATGACCTTTCTACATGTTCACTTAGCATCAAAGTTACTTTTCTCTTTCCTTTAATTCCTTTTTCAGTTCCTTCAGTCATAGAATAGGTATGAGTTAACATTATAGTCCTGTACAATGCACTGCTAGTAGTAGGTATTCACATACTTGTTGAAAAATACACCGATGTGTCCTGATATAATAGTGTGTCTCATAGAGGCCATCAAGAGGGCTTAATATAGGATATCTGCTTAAAATACTCCTCCTATGGTATTTAAAGGAGCTCTGGTAGCATAGTGCCTAAGGCACTTGACTGATAAACAGAAGGCTGGCAGTTCAAACCCACCAGCCACTCCTCGGAAGGAAGATGGGGCAATCTACTTCTGTAGTGATACTGCCTCGGAAACCCAAGTTGGGGTCGCTATGAGTCAGGTCCGACTCGACGGCACATGAAAACAACAACAACATGGTGTTTAAAAACTTCATAACCTGGTTCCAAAAACCCTTCTGCACAAGAGCTTCTGTACCCTTTACCCACTTTCAGTTACAGCCATTCCCAACTACTTGTAGTTCTCCAAACAAGCAAGGTTTTATGCTTTATCCTGATCCCTCTTCCTGGTATTATTTCTTCTCTTTCCCTTCTTCAACTCTTTATCTGGCCAGCTCCTACTTCAGTCAACTCAGATACCATTTCTTCTGAGAAACTTGCACTTATTGCAAGACTGAATTTGTTACCCTCTCTCTCCCTTAGGAGTTTGTGCTCAATCTTTCCATGGTATTTACCAGGTTTTTGTTGTTTCAAGTTGCATTAGAGTCAATTCTAACTCATGGTGAACTCATGTGCTTGCCGTACTACATAGCAATAATTTTTGTTGCTCATTTCCTCACTAGTCAAGGCCAGACAGATACTTCATTCCTGTCAGATGCCCACCACTTAACACACTACCAACATAAATCAAACCAAACCCACTGCCATCAAGTTGATTCTAACTAACAGGGACTCCCACTGGGTTTCCAAGGTGGTAAAACTTTTACAGAAGTAGATTGCCTCATTTCCCTTCAAGAGAGTGGCTGGTGAGTTTGAACCACCAACCTTCTAGTTAGCAGTCAAATGCCTTAGGCACTGCACCACCAGAGTTCCTTACATAACACAGTACATGGCACATAAGTGACCAATACATGATTAATGAGAGACCAAATCTTTATAATATATATTTTAAAAAAGATCAAATAACCACATCCTCATATACCACATATACCATTCTGGCATATGGTATGTCTAATAACTCCAGTATATTTTCAGTAAAGAATCATCACTAAGCTCTGTACCTGGAACATCTAAGGAACTCCTATAATGTTAGTTGAGTGACCAAGAGAGGTCATGAACAAGATCACAGTGGAAGAAAAGTTGTAGAAATTCTTGAAATCTCAAACCTTTGGCTTTAATACAACTTGCCCTAAAAATGACTCAATTATAGAACCATACAAACTAAAATACATACGGTAGGGAATGCTGCTATTTTGATTGCAGATTCGACATTGGGGATTTCTTACAGGCTGCCCAGGGACGTGTTCTACCAACTTGCAGTACATTTCGGGTCCTTTTTCTCCACATGTTGCATTGGTGGTGATGATAGCATTAGAAGCAAGATTCAGTACAGCAGGAAACAAACCTAAAAAAGATGGACAAATGAATATGTGTGGTCCAGAACAAAGTGCCATGATTCTGGTGTAATTTAAAATGCAATTAAGATATGATATTTCTCACAGCATCCAATTAACTCAAAATGAAATAATCAGCAACAATTAAATACGAATACATAACTTAATACAGCAAAGCACATAAATAGCATGTGTAATCAAAGAACACTTGTTTTTTTTTTTTTTACTAAATGTTAACTCTGGAATTAAAGCTATCTTTTTACTGTTCAAAGTCTAAAATTTAATTAGAAAGAAGGACCTGTCTCCACCATATACTTTTAAAAATTCTGTGCTTACATTATTTGCAAAAGATTTACATCTTTCAAAGAACTCCCTCCATCTTCCATTTCAGACCATTATGTCAAGTATTAAACTACAATCATATGTAAACTTCTTTCAAAATTGTTTTTCATGGTTATTTTTATGCTCCAATTATCATTTAGCAAAAATGATTACTGTAATTCTTTTATATCCAGACTGGAGAGGAGAGAGAATGATGAAAGATTTTAGAAGACCACTCTTTAGTGCCTCTGTGCTACAAAGCCAAATTATACAGCAATGCAACACTATCTCACCAGAAACAGGTCATTATAGCAGTCTATGATCACATATCACAAGTAATTCCTTACATTAACTGAAAGTGTTTGACTTGCTTAAATAAAATCTCAGAGGTCCATTTCTGTGTAGGGCAGGGAAGGCCCTTCATTTCATTTGAGAACCCAAATCAGTCTGTTTACCTGCCATAACTGAGCATCAGTTCTACTGCATGTCTATTATTTGTGTGGAATAGATCTGTTTTCATTGACAATATACCACAGTTGCTCATTAGAAGCAACTCTAATTAACTGAAATTTTTCCTTTGGCAAAAGTGTACTTGAGAATACAGATAATTTGTCACAATTTGTCTCAGGAACATGCTAATAATATAAGTTGTATTAACTCTATATCCATACCAAAATGTTCTATATCAATTCGGCCTCTGACAGAAAGCTCTTCACTAATTCAATCACATGGGCTCATCTTTTACTGAGATCCCTAGAGTTTTGAGTTCATATAAGCATTCTGCCTTATCCTTGGAACTTAGCAAATACTAACTTAGTGAGGAAATGATGAAGGTTGGTCTCAGTTTTGCTCAGTCATCTTTGTCATTTCCTCAACTTCTGGTCTAGTCTTGACCCTGACTTTGGGGTCTGTTTTACAGGTCTGAGTAGGACTTCCCATGCCCTGCTTTGGTGAAGCCCTAGGTACCTAATTTGAACTGGCCCCACCTATACTTTTTCAGGCCTGATTAACATAAACAAAAAAAAAAAAAACCTCCAAACCTACTGCCATCAAGTTGATCCTGACTCATAATGACCCTATAGGACAGAGTAGAACTGTTCCTTAGGATTTCCAAGGCTGAAATCTTTACAGAAGCAGACTGCCTCATCTTTCTCCTGTAGAGCAACTGATGGGTTCAAACCTTTGCCTTTTTGGTTAATAGCTTAATGCTTTAACCACTACGCCACCAGACATGACTGGTGAAAATTATTTTACTCTATATTGTTTGTACAGTAAAAATATAAATAGATTATATTCCAATTGAACCAGTGAATAAAAAAAAGAATACAAGCAAAATGATTTAGCTATAAAGGGACTAGGCCTCTAAGTGATGCAAATGGTTTGTTGTTATTGTTGTTGTTATGTGCCGTCGAGTCAGACCCGACTCATAGCGACCCCTCCTTGGGTTTCCGAGGCAGTATCACTACGGAAGTAGATTGCCCCATCTTCCTTCCGAGGA